ATATTTCACTCAACACAATGTCCTCCAGAGTCACCCATTTTGTATAATACTTTATGAGTTCCTTGTTTTTCAATGCTGCATAGTATTACATTGTCTGAATATACCACAGTTTTTCTATCCATTCATTTGTTGATAGGCATTTTGATTGTTTCCAACTCTTTGTTATTGTGAACAAAGTGCTTTTAATGTCAAAGGTTAAATTGATTTGTAAATTATATGATACCTTCAAACAGAGAGTTGTGAAGATGTTTCTGTTGATGTAGGGAAGTTAAAAGGTCACAGAGAATGGCACATATAATAAATGTCTGGTATAAAAGAAAAATTTTTGAAAGCATTTGACCTTTTAAAGCAAATGATTATGATATATTGCTTGAAAAAATATCATTTATATTATATCATAACACCAATTAAGACAAAGAACTACTTGTATTTGTTATGTGTCGCCGAGGCACCTGCAACCATAGAGACCCTATGTACAGCAACTCTGAAGCCTGACCCTTTCTGAGCCAGTCTCACTGATTCTGACACACCTGTCTCCTTTTCCCCAATTACTGTATCAAACCATCTTATCCGGAGTCTTCCTCTCCTGTGCTGTCCCTCTGCCCTTCTGAGCATGATGTCCCTCTCCAAAGATTCATCTCTCCTGGCCACGTGCCCAACGTATGTGAGATGGAGCTTCAAAATCCTAGCCTCCAAGGAGAAACTTGGTTTCACCCTCTCCAAGACAGACCTATTTGTTTTCTAGGCAGTCCTTGGTATGTTCAAGACTCTTCTTCAGCACTACGACTCAAAGGCATATATTCTTCTATCATCCTTAGTCATTGCCTAGCTCTCTCATGCATAGAAAGTAATTGTTAAGACAATGGCTTGGATTAAGCATTCCTTAGTCTCTAGACTGACACCTTTACATTTAGGCACTCTAAAGAGGTTCCTAAAAAAAAAAAAAAGAGGTTCCTGACAGCAGATTTATCTTATACAATTCATCTTTTGATTTCCTGACT